ATAAATGATGATGATGATGATGGTCGTTATAATAATGATAATGAATGAATGATGATGATGATATCAGTATAGCTACTTACACATCACTTTGACTGGTGAACGACTGATCAAAGATTGCTTCAATGCTCATCCACTTCAAGGGTAGCTTCCGGTTCGTCTTTGCTTGATACAGATCCTCGTACATGTGACGAGTCAACCCGAAGTCAGCGATCTTCGCTTCCTTGCTGTTTCCAACCAAGACGTTACGAGCAGCAAGATCACGATGGACGTACCCACGCTTAGAAAGATATTCCTGGAAGATTATAATGTTAATCTTATTGGTTAAAGACAGTAGGGATATTTCAATATGATGATGATGATCTCCTCCCGCCTCCGCGGGTCCCCCAAGAACCTAGAGCTAATATTCACCAAACATTACACAAATGTCATTCTGCAACAAGGTATTCCCATGAAAGAAACAAGATAATATTCRGTCTAATTTGCTTACCATTCCCTGAGAAACCTGCCAAGCAAAGGCCATCAAGTCGCCAGAAGTCAATATGTCGTCTTCGTCTTCTTGCTGCACTTTTATATCTCCTTCTCCATTATTATCTGGTTGATGGTCTAATCCTGGATTCCCAACGCCATCTCCTCTCTCAACATTTTCATTCTTTTGCACGGATATCAACTTTATATCCTCATTCTTTGATTCCTTGTGTGGTTCTGGTGTGTGGACATACACACGGTCACTACGAGATGGCTGCAACATTCAACAATGAGTCAATTTGATGAGCGATTATTTCAACAAAGTCATTGGGCACATTTTATGTCAAACAAGTAAATCTTTTAGATGCATACTGCAGCTTAAGATGCGCACAGGAGGTGAAATTATGACTGGTGAAACATCTCAAGTCCATCAATAGTTATCAAACGGTTTGAACATATATAATGTATATAATACTTAGCGGTCTCGTCTTGGCAGTTATCTTGGTGACTATCTTTATAGATGATTATATAATGAAGGTTTTTACCTGCAGAGAGATGCCTCCATCAGGGTTGTTTTTGTTAAAGTATGTTTGGCAGTATGTGGAATGGTAGGGTCCACGAGGATCACTTTCTGGATACTGCATGGCCTGATAAAAAATTTTAAACATAATTAGATATCGCCACCACTTTCATCAAACACCAAAATACAAATGTCAGCTGGTATGTTACGTCATTATGACGTCATTTGTAAATACCCAACGTCAATATGACTTCATTTTGCTAACCTTTCCTCGTCTCTTTCTTAGGTAGTGCAAAAGGTCACCATTATGTAAATACTCCACAATAAGGAACATTGGCTCACATACTGTACCACAGCCGAGCATATTAACGATGTTACGGTGAGCACCAACGTCTTTCATCAGCTGAATCTCTTTCAGGAATTCCTTTCTTTGATCAATGTCTGCAAAATCTGTGAGATGGTGAATTGGAGAGTCTCACTAAATCGGATCTAAAACTATGCGCGCAACGCATTGTTTGCCAAAGTGAAATAAATTCTCATGTAGGTTTTCTAGTGTTGCCGGCAAAGAAAACAATAATACTCTAAAGATAGAAGCATGAACCGCAAAGGGATGGCTTGCATCCCTTCCGATAAAAATAGAAAAATGAAAGACATGACCGCCATTTAACTTAATGAAACCATCCAACATGGCGGCTATGACGTCACATGCCTTCCCCCAGAAGAGGTCTAAGTCCTTACCATGGAGCATTTTTATAGCCACAACGTAGCCATCCTCTGGGTACAGCGGTTTGATGCTTTTTCGTCGAATACTTTTAGCTATGGAGTACTTTGCCGACTGTTCTGGAAGCTCCACCAACATTCCTTTGAAAACTTTACCAAAAGCTCCTTCACCGAGCTCCTCTTCCAGGCAAATCTTGTCGATTGGTACTTCCCAGTGGTCTATCAGGGCACCGTTTGCACTAGAAACATTAGAACATGTATTTCGTTTTACTTGGATTACGCAGGAAGTAGTTGCTTGGTCTCTCGAGCCAAAGGTTCACAACTAAAACGCTCGACGCCAGATCGAACAGACCCATTCAACTTGTGCCTAATGTTTTCCCATTTCTGACAAGTGGTATGAAATGGGAAAATATTAAACTGAAGCTGAAAAGGTCTATTAATATTTCAAAGAGTATTTTTTGGCAGGAGGAAACTGGAGAACCCTCGAAGTACGAGAGAGAAACAACAAGTGAGGTCCAGGCATTAAGCAGCGCACATCACCTACCAAAAGTTCTCATCAATTACTTATCAAAGAATTAGTCCAAGAGAGTGACGTAACACTTACCCAACGAGAAGCCCTTCTTTGAGAAGCTTTTGCCTTCTTTTGACGAACCAGATAATCAGTAGAATGGCAAGAAGAAGCAACAGCAAAATGCCTATGATGAGACCAGCTCTTTCTCCTGGGGTTAACTGGGTGCTCTTGGCATTAGTGGTATTCGGTACTGTGGGAATAAAAATGCACGAAATATGTTAACCGTGAGGTGTTGTCTGCAGCAATAGACACATTCACCTTTGGGGTAATGTTTTTCCCTTAATTTCAGACTACTATACGTTCTTTAGGGAATAAATTCTTTGTTTTAGCTGTATTCATATACTTATGTCTTCTCGTGTGTAGCCTTTAAACAAAGAAATGATACTTATGGGAATGACACGTGGTCTGAAGCGGGAAAAAATTAAACCCAAGGTAAAGAGGACTATTGATGGTATGTTTAGATTCTCAAAAGAGTCAAGAGACAAAGGCATGGCGGCCATGTTGGTGGCATTAACAATAGAAACTAACGAGGAATCTTTATGCCATCAATATTGGCGGCGATGACGTGTAAACCGAGAATAAGGCATCAAATAGGGGGAATGCTCGCTAGGAAATGCCGTTCCTTATAACTTGATTCTAGTAGAAGTGTAGAAAGTAGAATGAGACTTACGTGATGATTTAGAAATGATAATCTCCTTCTTTTCTCCAACGATGAATTCTCTTTCGAAGAAAGGTGTGACCTGGAGAACAAGAAAGTACCATAATAAAAATAAAATAACAAATAACAAACGAACAAACAAAAAACACACAAACAAGCAAAGAAATAAACAAACAAAAAAACAGTAGAAACTTGTAGATAAATTGGATCACCATGAAAAGCTTTGTGAAACTGACGTTTCGGACAAACAAAACATAAACAAAAACAAAGAAATTACAATTTAGTGCGAATTAAAGAATATGACAGGGTTTTTTTTTTGGTACTTGCTATCTATAATAATCAAAAAGGCTAGCCTAGATAGATAGCTAGTTTTCATTAATAGTTATAATTAACAATAGCGTGAGAAACAACATCCTATCTACTCCAGCCGCTGTACTCTCATTGTAAAGATTGTGATGTGTTCTCTTACTCTAAGTAGAAGAATTGATTTAACTTAATACACCGTATGGTTTGTGATGTTTAGAAACTAGGAGAATTGATTTAACTTAATACACCGTATGGTTTGTGATGTTTA